CAAAATAGTCAAAAAAAAACGTCTAAAAATAGTCTGAGGACTATTTTTTGAGTATTGTTTGACCTTCTTGGGGTATTTTTGGGATATTTTTTATTTTTCGTCGAAACTCCCCCTGTAGGGGGACACGCCCGACATAATCCGGGTGGGCTCCGCAGTGGCCCTGAGCCTCGAGATGGGGGCGGCCATAGGCGCGAAGGCCTGCTGCGCCTTGGCCGCCTTGCGGCAGCCGTCGGCCTGGTGTTCTGTCAGGCATTCTTGACGAAAAATAAAAAATATTCCCAAAATAGTCAAATAAGAATCCCAAAATAGCCTGGGGATTTGTTTTCTGCATTTTTCCCCCATTTTGGAGTATTTTTTTGATTATTTTTTATTTTTCGTCGAAAATCGGCCTGTAGGGGGACAGGCCCGACTTAAGCCTGGTGTCCTCCAGCGTCTTTGCGGATTGTGCCCAGGTGGGTAAAGTGGTGAGCGCTCTCTTGGGTGAAGCCGCCCGTGGAGGCGAACTGCTCGCGCCCGCTCTCCAGGAGTGCGCTCCAGTGGGGTCTCCTGGAGCCGTTGCCGAAGAGCTTGACCATGGCGGCATGCAGTGGGGGCCCATGCCAAGAAACACCCTGCTTGCCTCCAGGGTGCCCTGGGCTTCTTGGGTTTCGATGGTTCTGCGATGGCAATCGTGCCCCCACAGCAAAAAAATGTGGACGTCCTGGGGTCTCAGGGTTGGGTTTCTTGTGGAAGGCTTCTTGTGGTCGAGCCCCTACTGTGTTGTGAGATCCAGGCGTGCGAACTCTTGGAGCAGGGTGTCTGTGGCCCGTCCGAGCTGGTCCTTCCTGCCGTGGCCCGCCGCGCTCCGTTTCGAGGGAGGCAAGGACGGCGCCATCGACGTGCTCGCCGTCGACGTCGGTGTTCGTGGTCTCGTGGAGGTCCCACCTGGCGTCGAGGGCGTCGGGGGCAACGATACGGGGGTGTAACAGGGGGGACGCATCGACCCACAACCGCCCATGGATCGCCGATAATTAGGGGCCCGATAGCCCCAGCCTGCACAGGAAGATGCGGATTCACTATCGGGGGCCAATCGCCGATCTATCGGTGATGTATTGCCGATTCCAGGTCGATGCCCCCCCCCCCCCCCTATGCCAGTCCCCCCCGATCATTGCCCTTCAGGGCGGTGGTCCAGGGGATATCGACGTGCTGTGGGGTCCGAAGCTCGAGGGAGATGCCAGCTTCACGGAACCGCTGTCGTGCGCGGCCTCGTGCAATCTCGAGAGCCAAATCAAGGCAGAGCGTACCCAACCGACAATCTCGGCGGTGCCCGCGACAAGCGAGGACCACACCCACGGTATACCAGTCGGCGATTTACCCGGACATCCTGCGGCATGCCCGCCTGGTCCAGCAGAGGCGGGTGCCTCTCGAGGTACGGTTGGGCCACCTGCGCGACAGGCGCGGGGATGCCAGCTCGCTGCAGGTCCGCGGAAAAGGTCCGATGATGATGGTGATGATGATGATGATGATGATGATGATGATGATGATGATGATGATGATGATGATGATGATGATGATGAGGATGCTGCGGCTGCTGATCATGATGATGCTGATGTTGTGAATGATGTAAGAGGAACTGGTGATGATGATGCTGATGATGACGATTATGATGCTGCTGATGCTGATGATGCTGATGATGATTACGGTGGTGATGATGATGCTGATGATGCTGCTGATGATGATGGTCATGCTGATTTTGATGCGGATACTGATGCTGATGATATTGATGGCGATGCTGATGGTGAAGAAGAAGATGCTGATGGTGCTGATGACGATGATGGTTATTATGGTGATGAGGGTGGTGGTGGTGGTGGTGATGGTGATTATGATGGTGATGATGATGCTGATGTTGATGCTGATGCTGCCGATAATGATGATGCTGATGTTGCTGATGATGACAATGCTGATGATGATGCTGATGCTGAGGATTATGCTGCTGATGATGATGTTGATGATGATGCTGCTGATGCTGCTGCTGATGATGATGCTGATGTTGATGCGCTGCTGCTGATGATGCTGATGCTGCTGATGATTCTGATGATGCTGATGGTATTGATAGCGATGCTGATGATGACGCTGATGCTAATGATGCTGATGATGATGACGCTAATGGTGATGCTGCTGCTGATGATGAATCTGATGATGATACTGAGGATGGTGATGATGATGATGACGATGATGCTGATGATGGCGATTATGATAATGAGGATGCTGCCGATGATGCTGATGATGATGATGCTGCTGATGATGCTATGGAGGAGGATACGGAGAAGAAGGAGGATGAGGAGGCTGATGATGATGATGATGATGATGATGATGATGATGATGATGAGGATGATGAGGATGATGATGATGATGATGATGATGATGATGATGATGATGATGATGATGATGATGATGATGATGATGATGATGATGATGATGATGATGATGATGATGATGATGATGATGATGATGATGATGATGATGATGATGATGATGATGATGATGATGATGATGATGATGACGGGGAGGAGGAGGAGGAGGAGGAGGAGGCGGAGGAGGAGGAGGGGGACATGGCGAAGGAGGAGGAACAGGAAAAGGAGGAGGAACCTGGCCTTCAAGGGCGTCACCGATCAGGAGGAGGACCCGTCTGTAGCTTTCGCTCGGAGGAGGAGGAGGAGGCGGAGCAGTGAGGAAGAGGAGGCGGAGGAGGAGGAGGAGTGGAGGACGGAGGGGAGGAGGAGGGGAGGAGGAGGCGGAGGAGGAGAGGAGGAGGAGGAGGAGGAGGAGGAGGAGGAGGAGGAGGAGGAGGAGGAGGAGACGGAGGGAGGAGGAAGGAGGAGGGGAGGAGGAGGAGGAGGAGGAGGGAGGGAGGAGGAGGAGGGGAGGAGGAGGAGGAGTAGGAGGAGGAGGCGGAGGAGGAGGAGGAGGAGAAGGAGGGGAGGAGGAGGCGAAGGAGGAGGGGAGGAGGCAGGAGGAGGAGGAGGAGGAGGACAGGAGGAGGAGGAGGAGGACGGAGGGAGGAGGAGGAGGAGTAGGATGAGGACCAGGAGGAGGATGATGATGATGATGATGATGATGATGATGATGAGGAGGAGGAGGAGGAGGAGGAGGAGGAGGAGGAGGAGGAGGAGGACGAGGAGGAGGAGGAGGACGAGGAGGAGGAGGCGGGGCTCAGGGAGAGGGGGGCGCGTGCTGCTTCCTGGGTCGCGCGTGCGCAGGAGTCTGCCCCCCCCCACCCCCCCGCGCCGTTGCTTCTGCGCCTGGCCTCGAGCCCTGGCGCGGAGGGGCACCCGCGCCTGAGCTCCGCAATCTCTCCGGCATCTCGGGCCCACCAGCTGTCCCCTCCCCCCCTCCCCTTCTCCTTCCGAGGAGGAGGCGCCAACATGGACTAAGGCGCGTGGATCAGCGGCGGGTCCAGTTCCTTGCGGAATCGGCGCGGTTCGTCGTCAAATCAGGCGGCGTTGGCCTTCCGTTTGCGGGCATTTGTCCCCGATTAGTGGATTTGGCGCCCACGCGCCGGATCCACGGCTCCCTAGTCCGTGTCAGCGTTTGTCGCACCCCTGCTCGTCCTCGCCCGCGTCCACGGCCAGGCGTGCGTCATGGCGTCCACCCCCCTCCGCGGATGCTCCCGCTGCTGCCCTGGGACCCCGCTGGCCCCGTGTGCACGTTCGGAGGAGCATGGGGGTGGGACGCCATCAGGGGCAACGATAGGGGGGGGGGATAGGCATAGGGGGGGATGCATCGACCTCCAATCGCCCACTGATCGCCGATAGGGGCCCGATAGCCCCAACCTGCCCGGGAAGGTGCGGATTCACGATCGGAGGCCTCTCGCCGATCTCTCGGCGATGTATCGCCGATTCCAGGTCGATGCATCCCCCCCTATGCCAGCCCCCCCCGATCATTGCCCTTCAGGGCAGTGGTCCAGGGGATATCGACGTGCTGTGGGGTCCGAAGCTCGAGGGTGATGCCAGCTTCCCGGAACCGCTGTCGTGGGGAGCACGGAGTTGGGGGTGATGCCCCTCACGCCCAGAGGAGCACGGAGTCGGGGGCGGCGGATGCGTGCGACCGACGCCAAGGGCATCGGTCCTGCCGCCGCCTCCGCCCCTGCAGGCCGCGCTGATGTCTCCGTGCCCAGCGCACCTGCAGAGCAGCAGAGGCTGCGCCCCCGCTCCCTTCCCCCTCTCCGCCCCCCCACGCGGGTCGTTGCCCCTGCTGCTCGTGCTGCTCCCCAACCGTCCCTTCCTTTCGCTTCCTCCTCCTCCTCCTCCTCGTCCTCCTCCTCCTCCTCCTCCTCCTTCTCGTCGTCCTCCTCCTCCTCCTCCTCGTCCTCCTCGTCCTCCTCGTCCTCCTCGTCCTCCTCCTCCTCTCCTCCCCTCCTCCTCCTCCTCCTCCTCCTCCTCCTTCCTCCTCCTCCTACTCGTCCTCCTCCTCCTCCTCCTCTCTCTCCTCTCCACTTCGTCCTCCGAAGTAGCGGCTCTTGAGCGGCGGTGCGGACGCGCTCAGGTCGGTTGCCCCCATGCTGCCCCGAGCGGTGTGCAGCGCCCCCATCCCCTGGTGTGGCGCTCGAGGTCCGCTTCGGCCTACACTGTCCCTTCCTTTCGCTTCCTCCTCCTCCTTCTCTTTCTCATCGTCCTCCTCCTCCTCCTTCTCCTCCTCTTTCTCATCGTTCTCCTCCTCCTCCTCCTTCTCCTCCTCCTCCTTCGCCTCCTCCTCCTCCTCCTCCTCCTCCTCTCCCTCCTCCTCTTCCTCTTCCTCCGTCTCCTCCTCCTCCTCCTCCTCTTCTCCTCGTCCTCCTCCTCCTCCTCGTGCCCGTTCTCTTGTTCCCCCCTTCCTCTTCGTCCTCCGAAGCAGGGGTTCTTGAGGGACGGTGTAGCAGCGCTTAGAGTTCGGTTGTCGTCCTGCTGCCCCGAACGGTCCGGTTCTGCCTGTACACTGCACGGCATGTGATTCTCTGACATGCAGCTTGCAGCCTTGCCCAGGTACACCTTCCAGCCGAGCATCCCGGACAAGCACTTCAACATCGGCCACTGGAATTATGCGCCTATCTTATATTTAGCTCTGGCCGCACTCTTGGACCGTTGTGTTCTGGACGTTTTGCGTACCCCCACCAGCCCATCCTGAAATAATGCTCAGGCGAGTTGCCCTGATCAGGGATGTGAAGGAGCATGCAGTGGAATAAAGTGCCGAGGAAGCCGTCCTACCCCAAGAGAGTGAGAATGGAAGAGGAATCGGAGGAGGAGGAGGAGGTGGAGTAGGAGGTGGAGGAGGAGGTGGAGGAGGAATAGACGGATGAGGAAGATGAGTAGCAGTAGGGCGAGCAGCAAGGCCAGACACTTCATGGATGCCGCTCGGAGTCTCTTCGGATGTCCCTTGCGGGCTTCTTCGAGTCCTCTTGGAGCGTCTTGGGGGTCTTGGCCGGCCTTTGGGGCCTCTTGGAGCGTCTCGGATGCCTTGGGGGCGTCTCCTGGGGCCTCCTTGGGGGTCTCTGCGTGCCTCCTGGGTCCCTCTTTGGGGCCCTCGTGGGGCCCTCTCGGGGCCCTCTTGGAAGCCTCTGGGGCCATCTTGGAGGAGTTCGTCAGAGCCCCGAATCATCAGGGGTAACTCGGGTCAGGGATAACTCGGGTTCGTTTTTCGGGAAGCCGAACCCGACTTACCCCGGACCCGAGTTACCCCGGATAACTCGGGCGTCCAGAGCCCCAGAATCATCAGGGGTAACTCGGGTCAGGGATAACTCGGGTTCGTTTTTCGGGAACCCAAACCCGAGTTACCCCGGACCCGAGTTACCCCGGATAATTCGGGCGTCCAAGTTCGATCAAAGACGGGGGGTGGTTCCTGAATCGGCGCCGCTCCTCCAGAGCTCTAACCATCGCCTCGTGGACCCCTTTTGGAAGCGTTCTCGGGGCGCTCCGTGGCGCGCTCTTGGATCCGTCTATGGGGATCTGTTTGGGCTCTCGCTTCTCGGGGCGCCCCTTGGGCTCTTTTGGGCCGCTGTTTGGGCTCTCGTGGGCCCTCCTGGAGCCATCTTCAAGGGCTCCCTCGAGGGCGCGAAGTTATTCGCGCTTCGCGCTTCGCGCTTCGCGGTCCTCGTTCCTTCTCCCCCTCCTCCTCGTCCTCCTATTCTCCCTTTGGGAGGGCGGCGCGAGAGCGCGAAGTTATTCGCGCTTCGCGCTTCGCGCAGCGCGAAGCGCGAACTTAGGAGCCCTTGTGGAGGGCCGTCAGAAGCGACAGGGTGAGAAGGCACCGATCATTTCTTTTGCTCCGGTGGGTTATGAAGGAGTTTTGGCCTCTTGGCGGCTTCCATGGGTGGCTCTGTGGCCTCTTGGACACGTCTTGAGGCGGTCTTGGAGCCTTCTGGAGCATGTTGGATGCCACTTTGTGCCATCTTGCGCTACCTGGAGCCATCTTGGAGGCCATTGGGCTCTCTGAGGCTCTCTTGGAGCCATCTTGGGTCAACAAAGACCCTCTGACACCTCGGGGCCCCTCCCTTCAGACCCAGGGGAGGGGGCAGGGGGAGGGGTCAATCCGCCTCCTGCACACAACGGACAAGCCGTCTCGCTCACTCCTGCCCGCGCTCTCAACATATAAGTAACAGCCGCGTATCCTCGTCAAGAACCAACCCGGAGTGGTCGCGGGGCGCCCGCGCTTGTTCCAGATTCGGAGGCAACACGTATTTATTTTGCATGGTAACTTGGCAGGGATGCCTGGCCTGCGTGCAGCCGGCAATCTGAGAGCATCCCCGCCGTCCTCGTCGAAAATAAACATTGCAAAGTGGCCGCGTGGCGCCCGCGCATACTCCAGATTTGGAGGCACATTGTATTCAATTTTGCTTGACAGGGTTGGTTGACCTGTGCGCAGTAAGCAATATGAGGACACCCCCGCTGTTATGGTCAGAAACCAATGGCAAGTGGTCGCGATCGCCCGCGCACATTCCAAATCTGGAGGTAACTCGTAGTTGGTATCGTTTTGACCCGGCGGGATGATTGCCTTGCGCGCAGCAAGCAATATGAGCACCCCCCCGCCGTCCCTATCAAACACCACTGCAGGGTGGTCGCGGGGCGCCCGCGTAGACTCCAGATTTTGAGGCAAGTTGAAGTTTCTACTGTTTCTTGGCAGAGGTGGTGGGGGGGGGTCGTCATGCGTTCGGGCTGGCTGCCAGTCGGGTGAGGGAGGGGGTGTTCATGAAGAGGGAACGGTGGTCACGACGACTCTCCCAGACGTGAGCCGTTTGGCTCTATCCAACCCACCATCCCAGCACACAATCTGGACGCCCGAAATGGGCACGGAAAGAATGGGTACGATGCCCAACTGCAGTTCCTGTTCATTTTGAACAGGATTCGCTGTCCACGCCGCCGCGGCCTGTGTCCATTCGAGACAGAAGGCCGCCTGCCCAACAGCGGCCGCTGTTGGTTTGGGACAACATTTGTTGTTGGGCATTGTACCCATTCTTTCCGTACCCATTTCGGGCGTCCAAACACAAGGAGTCCCCGAGTCCCAGCACCAGCGGTCGTCTTTGGATAGGGGCAGCTCGTGGGAACCAGTGCAGCCCCCGTGGTCCGCGACGTTGGGGCGAGCGGCGCCGCGCGCGCCAGGCGCGCCAGGCGCTCCGGGTGCCCCCTGGGGCCCAAGCGGGCCGGGCACGCCTGGTGCGCCAGATGCGCCACGTGTTTCACGTGCGCCATGTATCAGGAGGGACAAAACACACAGACAGACACAATGAATCGTCGATCCCCCAGAAAATCTGGGAAAATATGGGAAGGGGGGGGGGGAAGACAAACACCCAGAAAATATGGGGAAATACGGGGAATCTTTTTATTTGTGTGTATTTATTTGTGTGTGTCCCAGGGCCTCCTCAATGTATGCCGCATGCTCCAGCCGCGCCAGGTTTGCCACGTTCGGGGTACGCGCGGAGTGTGCCAGGTGCGCCCGCGCACATCGGGAAACATGCCGGCCTGGCCATCGCAGTGGAGTGGCCATCATGATGTTCTGTGAGCCTTCGATAGCCATTTTGGCTCAAGTCCTTTTGGCCCAGGCCCCTGGGCCGGCTGCCTCGGAGGCCTGCAGTGGACCTCTCCGCACGGTGGCCGCGCGTCTCCGGGCCGCCATGGCCCCCTGCAACCTCCTCGGCGCCGCCGCGCTGTCGCTGGTGCCCGGCGCGCTGGCCTACTCGCAGATGCACGGGTACATGCCCGTCTCTGACGTGACCGAGCACGCTCAGATCATCGATGATGCCACCATCATGCTCGAGGCCCTGGGCGCATCGGTTCTGGAGGCGGGGGAGATCTACACGCGGGCAAAATGCATCTACAAGGACGGCGGGGGCAGCTCCTGCAAGTCCGTGTCGACCGCGCGAACCCTCCAGGGCTTCGCCCAGGCTGACCTCTCCGGCGAGACCTACGCCGACAGGTTCTACGCCTCTGGCTTCGCCATTGACTTCTGGGACGCAGAAATCACCGCTGCCCTGGACGGCACCGGGGTATACGAGGGCCTCAGCGACACGAAGCGCACGACCTCGATCAAGAAGGCCGTGATGGGCCTGGTCACCTACTACGCGTCCCACGAGCTGGAAGCTGCGATCGACAAGGCCGCGGAAGCCGCCACGCGCTCCGACGACGGATCCGGGCACGCGTGGGACGAGGGCTGGGCCTTCTACCGCGGGCATGCGGAGGACGGCGAAGACACCCCGTGGGAGGTTGCAGGAAAGCGCGACTCCGACTTCCCGGACGGCGTCGCAGTTGCCACGGCCATCGTGCCTTACTTCAACGCGGGGCTCATCGCGGTGCGAAACGCGACGTACGACGCGACCGCTGCCGAGAAGAACAGGGACGTCATCTACAAGTTGTGGGCGATCACCTACCTCCGCGCTGCCCTGAAGTACCTCGAGATCTCGGAGACCACTTATGACGAAACGGCGCACGCGGAGGGCTACGCGTACTGGATGGCCATCGACGGCTGGTGGAGCTCCTATGACCTCGAATCTGGGACGACTATGCGCGCTGCTCTTGACATCACCAAAACATCAATCGCTGCGGGCACATTCTGTGCTACCAAGGCGCTCATCGAGGCAGCCTACCCCACGGTCGGCATCGATTGCGACATGGTGGGCGCTTTTGAGGGCTCCACCATCTCCTGCACGGCCACCACCACCGGGGGCGATGCGCAACCGGAGGACACCACCACGGGCGGGAACTCCGCGATGGACCGCTGCGGCGCTGCATCCGTCACCTTCGATGCCGGCGCGGACATGGTGGCTGCGGTGGACGGCGTGGAGGCGTCGGACGTCACGTGCGCCGCCTATGCTTGCCAGGAGGACGCGACCTCTAGGGCCCGGGCGGTGGGCGCCGCACCCGCAGTCGCAGGGGCGGCGGCGCTGGCGCTGGCCGCCCAGTGAGAGCCTCCTCCGGCGGCTCCCATTGGTGCCCGAGCGAGCGGTGCGAGGGGCGCCACGCCTCTGCACCGTGGTGGTGCACAAGGCCCGTCGAGCAGGCAGGCAAGGGTTCGTGAATTCAGGAGTTGCTCTTCGTCCGCAGCGCCCCGCGAGAGCCCGCCGCCCCCCCGCCCTTGGCCTCGGCCTCGGCCCGGGGCGGCGGAGCGGGGCGTTGGAGGCGCAGGGCGAGAGTTGTAGAGAGTTGTAGAGTCGTGGAGATTTGTACGGGAGCTGCCGAGATTCGTGAAGCTCCTGGGGCAGAGGCCAGCGGCCGCCCGGCCATCCGCCCAGCGTTCTTCATCGGCCTGCGCAGGCGTGGGGTGAAGCTCCGTCGGCATGGGCGGCGGCCCATTCGCCCCCCCCTTTGGAGCATTGTGGAGCGGTGTTCCCGGCCTCACCTGTCTGTGGGCGTGCTGCCCGCGCCCTCGGGCGGCCTCCTCCCGCAGCGCTCCTCCAGGGTCTCTTGCCCGGCGGCGGCGCCCGCCCCAGAGCAGGCAGGGCGGTCGGCCCTGTGGGCTGCTGGACGCCTCGCAGAAGCCTTGGGCCGCCTGAGGATCGGGCCGGGCGAAAGGGGGGGATTGGGAACGGGGGGGTTACGAAATTTGCTGCATGC